CATGTCAATTGCAGGGATTCGAACAGCGCACCGCCACACAGCCACAGAGGTGAAAGTATTATCATTCTCAGACTTCTTTGTCGTTCAATAGCGTCTTGACTGACGCGGCCTGCCAGAAGACGGGAAAGCAAGAACCCCCATCCGCCTGCAAGGAGATAAGATATTAGTCTTCCATAGCTAGGACAGAGTGCAGCGTAGTTACATGGAGCTAGAGGAGTAACCAATCTTACGCTGATTTCATAGTGAGCTTGTAAGCGAGGACGCGACAAGGGATTTGCGTGTGCATCAACATGAGAAATCGGCTGGTGGATAGCGAAATGGGCTCTATGCCATAAACATCACATCTCCAGCCACGAACTAGTCCCTACCAACGTCTACATAGGCCATTATCCATCCATTATTGATATGGACGTTGTCTTTCCAAGATCCAAATGCCCGTCGTCAATCGCTTCTTTGGGAAGAAGCTCGCGCCAAGAGATATCATGCTTATCTAATCAGGTCAAAAATTGTGAGCATTTGGAGAAAACTGGACTCTCTGGCTGGGATGGTTTTTATGTCGATGAACGACGCATTGCGACCACCAGACACCAATGGAGAAAGTATTACGGCGAGCTGCTCTTGCGAGCAACCAGGCTAAACGCAAGGCAAAAGCAGTCCTTGAAAAAGACCGCCGCAACAAGCTTCAAGGAGACCTGAAGGAGAAATTTGCGTATAACCGGAGTCTACTGGATGAAGCAATTGAGGAGCGAAAGAATCGTCGAGAGGACTGGTTGAAGGGGCCATTAGCTCCTCGAAGGAATTTTGGCGATCGCGATGTGCTCTACGGAACAGTTACAACCAACCGTCTACGGATGCCTAAGGTCCCAGAGGCGAAGAGGGTTAAATATGTGACCTTTGCTCCCGGTGACCGTGTGTGCATGGTCAGAGGAAGGGACAAGGGAAAAATTGGCAAAGTTCTTCAGGTGGATGAAGAATCGCAAAGTGTTACTGTTGAAGGAGTGAATATGGTAATTCTGTCCTGCGGACGCCTGGCCTTCTTTTGACCCAGTTGCTAATTATCTACTTTGCCCAGTTCGATGTGGAATTCCCTGCATTTGCGTTAGCAGGAGACAGCGATAAGCGTCCATACCGTTCGTATCCCGTTCCAAACTCATTTGACGATGTCCGGCTTGTGGTCCCTCTCCAGGACCCTGCTACCAACACAGTAAAGGATGTTGTTGTCAAGCATGCCTACGGAGCTGGCCCTTTCCTAGACCGCCCATACGGCTCAACCACTCCACGACACACACGATACATATCGGGATTAGACATTGAGATACCCTGGCCCGAAACGGAAGAGCCAGACTTTCAAGATCATCCAGTTGATACACTCCAGATTGAAGTGGAAAACAAATCGTACCTCCCATCGCTGCAGACCTACCCAATGCCCAGCACAGTTATAGACGAGCTGAGAAACAAATACTCGAAGTTCCGTACCCGACATGATCCAGAATATGTTGCGAAGAAGGAGGAAGAAGCTGCATTCGAACAGTGGTCGAAGCAGAGGACGCTCGTGACTCCACAAACCGAGTATTTGACCAAGGTGGCTGAGGAGAAGAGGCTGCAGAGAGAGCAGGAAAAGGACGAGAATGGCAACTTCAAGCTATCTGGTGAGACTACCGATTTTATCGGGAATTTCATGGCAAGGAAGCTGCAGCAACGACAACAGCAGCAGCATCAGGGCTAACGCAGGACAATTACCGCATAATCCTCCCTGCAAGTTGTCAGTCTTTCCAAGGCTTCGATAGGGACTCATTGGGACTGTATATTTATCAAGCTGTATTAGAATCTTTTTACGTGTACGATATTTCTTGAAATAGCGCTTCCATTCTGTTGTCATTTCTGCTGGCCAAAAGTCCCCCTATGCGACAGGGTCTGAATTGCCTTCCGGTAATTTACAATAACATAGTCATTCCCTCACTATACACAGTACCTTCTCTTGTATGCATAATGGTAAGTTCCATTCACTTCAGAGGTTGTTAAAAATAGGTAGCCCTTAATGTACGGGCTGTTTGTCCGCGCGTGGCCCGCGAAAACCTTTAACCAACTTCTTTAGCTTCCAACCTGCTTCAACTTTGAAATCAACCACTACAACTCCAGGATCTACCTTGATATATACCAGCAACATGGGGTTCATCACGGTGAATGAAGCCGCTATAGACAAGGCATTCAAGACGAATCCCGCCCTGCAAGGACGCATTCTCGAAGCTATCTGTGAGTGTTGAGCCTTTTCATTTCCACGACGCGCGGGGAGTGGCCAAAACTGCATTGACAAACGCGGAAAAACGAACAAAGATCTCTTCTCTATCAAATTGTGAGACGATAAAAGAGTATATTATGTGCTTGAATATCTGGCTAATTGTGTTGTCTCTTCCAAAATCCAGCTGAGTATCCCCAATGCGTCGGTCTGTTCGAAGACATCGCGAGGTTCATTTGCTCTGAACGGGAAGCCCACCAGAGCCAGCTTCACAGCGCCTACAGCATAGCACCTGCTACGGAGAGCCTGCAACAACAACATATCACGCCAGTTGAAGGACCTGCTGCTAAGAAAAGGAAAGTGGCCAATGGATTCGCTGGGTCTGCTGCGCCTGGGGCGATGGGAGGAGAAGACTCTGCGTTGATTGCTGGCATACAAGGGGACGCCGACTTGCAGTTATACGTGCAAGACCTCTCTTTTACCATCCCTCAAAGAAAGAAGCTCAGGCTGGAGTTTACACAGGACCTGGGAGGTGGGAATGAATATATTAGAGCTAGGAATCAGGCTTCTGGTGAGGTTGAATTCGGCGTTCCTGTTGGCAAAATCGGTAAGAGCCGCCTCACTTTAACCCCGGAATTTCTCTAGAACGATACTCATTACTTTTCGGGATGTAGAACATGTCCTTTGTCTCCCAGTCCCGGAAAAAGCTCAACGACAGTTCAATTTCTGCATTATACCGGAGTACAAGGATGGAATCACCAGTGCTCCGGATGGAGTGGTTACGTTTGAACCTATAGTTTGGACGGTGCCTGATGCACCTCCTCGAAGTGCATATTTGGGGTCAGGAACTCCAGTCTCCGAGAGTGCGAGCTTAGCGGAGACATATCAGACATACTTCCAGAGTTTCCTAGACGGAAAATTGAAGCATGTCAAAGTATTATGTCCTGACGAGAAAGAGTTCGTGAGCGCCACCCCCGAAGCTCACCGAAAGTCCGAGAAGGCATATCACGTCAAGGCCTTCCGAGGCAGTAAAGAAGGTATACAATTCCATTGTATCAGCTATCCATATCGTTTGACATTTCTAACTGGTTTCGTCTGATCTGAACAGGGTACCTCTTCTTCCTGGCTAGCGGGATCTTCTTTGGTTTCAAGAAGCCTGTTCTGTTTATTGCATTTGAAAATGTGGAGTCTATTTCATATACGGCTGTGCTTCAGCGGACATTCAACCTGAACATAACAACACGCTCGGCCGCGAAGCCGGACGAAATGCAGGAGCTGGAGTTCTCAATGATTGACCAAGCGGATTATCCGGGGATTGATGCATATATCAAGAAACATGGCTTACAGGATGCCAGTCTAGCTGAGGAGCGCCGTGCAAAGAGGCTTAATATTAATGCACCAAGAGGCGGAGATGGGGCTGACGATGGAAGTGGAATGAATGATGGGGGCGTTCCGCAAGCAGAGGAAGAAGAATCGGAGCTGCAGAAGGCCCAGAGGGAACTCGAGAACCAACAAGCAGATGAAGAAGATGAAGAGGAGGATGACTACGACCCCGGAAGTGAGGGGGAGAGTGAAGGCAGTGGTTCGAGTAGTGAGGAGGAGGAGGGAGACGACAATGCACAGGGTGCATGATTTTGGTATCCGTCATAAAAGGGGAGAAGGTTGACGTTTGGAATTGGTCTGATACCGGCGTTATTCGACATTTTGGATATTCCCGTGCTGGAACATGAGGGAGCTGAACACTGGACGCTGTCTATCATCTACTTGTCTACTTGGTCACCCGTTTTTCTCTTATTATTGTTACCATTTGTGTTGAACCATTTTATCATCTTATCAGTTTATCAACCAGGTCGTTTCTCATACACTCGTTCCGTTACGCCCACAGGGGTCAATGGCGGATCGACAGGCCAGAGCACTAGTCTTCCTCGAGCACAACACCATCAGTGTAGTAAATAAGCAGCAACATCGGTCTATAGAATGCTATCCTCTGCCGACTGGAGATGTTTATCATTTCAATATTGTATTTTGATGGTAGTAAATAACGCACCACGGCTCAAGGACAGATCAGAGTCCACAGCTTGAGATAACCATATTTTCTCCATAAAAAAAAACTCCTCCAGCTCTTTCTATCGACATTGAACTTGACCAAACTGGCCCTAGGCTCTCACAGGCTCGTAATCCAACCCCTACTATCCCCAGTGACATGAGGCAACCCATCCAGAATGATAACTTAGGCGCCAACCCCGTTGCGTAAAAATGAATAAACACTTCGCTTGGCGCTTAAGTTTCGGGGCGTTCTGGCGCAGAGCCCGTCACAGCCCCTGCATGCACTGCGTCTCAGGGCCAGGATGGAGGAGGAACTGCTGCTGCTGGCCCTTCTCGTCGGCCAACCGAGTCATCTGCTGCTGCAGCTACAACGTCGTCCTGACCTTTTTCGCTGGTTCTTCTTCTTCTTCTTCTTCTTCTACTACTACTACTTCTTCCTCTCCATCCCCCGTCTTCCTCTGCGGCTTCATCTGCGTCCTCGTCCTCGTCGTCTTCGTCGCGTGTCCAAAGCGAATAATAATAATAATAAGAAGAAGAAGAAGAAGAAGAAAAAAAAAGGAGACCAAGGTAGGTTTTCCTGTTTGGACAGATCCCGTGACCTGATCACCGGCCTGGCCAATAAACGGGTGAATAGATTACCAAGAGGCGTAGGGTACAGCAGCGTGACCGCGATACCGAGGCCTGCCAGGGCCGCCGCGCGCGCACCCAGGGGGGCCTGCCAGCCGTCCAGCGGTAATACCGATACGGCCGCTGGCTTCTGCCCCCGGCTCGAGACGAGCCAAAGCAAAAGCGACGAAAGCCTTTCCTGGGCTCGTCGTTCGTCGCTCCTCGCCGTCCGTCGCCTGCGTCTCTTCTTCCTCTTCTTCCTCTTCCTCTTCCTCTTCCTCGCTCTGCAAACTCCCCCCAAAAAACCTCATGCTCAGCACCCGACCTGAGTGACGCTGACGCTGACGCTGAAGCCGGTCGTGGATGGTCCCCCGTCTCGCCTGCTCTCGCTCCTCCTCCTCCTCTCCCTCTCTCGCTGCCTCGCTGGCCTTGCTCTCTGTCTGCTTGGCTGCGTCTCGCTCCCTGACCGACCTCCCCTCGTCCGTTGCTGGCTGCTCCCTCAGCGCTCAGCACAGAGAACAGGGCACTGCAAGGCCGTAGTCCTCAGTCTCTGCCCTCTGGCACCAGCCTGCGGTCGCTGCCATCGCCGGTTCCTGGCTCTCGAGGTGGTTGCTCTGCACCGGGCTGTCTCGATTTCTTCTCCCTCTGAACGCCCTTTGTTGCCCCTAATAAACTACACCCGGACTGTTTGACCTCACCCACCTCGTTCTGCTCCTAGATAGCGACACATATACCCGGTAGACTGCTCTTTAAAGAAGAAAAAGAAAAAGAATACACAGAGATAGACTCGTCGGTTTTTACTACGTTGCCTGCCATGTCGTCGAGTTCGTCAAACGTCGTCGGTGTGCATTACCGGGTCGGGAAGAAGATCGGTGAAGGCTCCTTTGGCGTCATCTTCGAAGGCACAAACCTCCTCAACAACCAGCAGGTCGCCATCAAGTTTGTACGTCGTTCTCTTTCTTACTCTTACTACTATCCTCCTCTCCTCTTTTAAACAAGAGGGAAAGAGAGAGAGACTCCTTTGTTTTTTGGACCCCCTATGTCGGGCTCTTGACTGTGCGGAAATGGAAATCTCTTACTCTTGCCACTTGTATAGGAACCCCGGAAGAGTGATGCCCCACAGCTTAGAGATGAGTACCGGACATACAAGATACTCGTTGGATGCCGTAAGTCGTTGACCCTTCTTTTGTTGTCGTTTTGCAAATGCGACATAGTCTTGCTGACAGCCTTGTGTGGGTAGCCGGTATCCCCAATGTCTACTACTTTGGCCAGGAAGGTCTACACAACATCCTTGTCATTGACCTGCTTGGACCCAGCTTGGAAGACCTCTTCGATCACTGTAACCGCAGATTCTCCATCAAGACAGTCGTCATGGTTGCAAAGCAGATGGTATGTTGTCACCAACGTCTGCTGTATTCAACGTAAAGCAAACTAACTTGCATCTTCCAGCTGTCGCGAGTACAAACTATACATGAGAAAAACCTCATCTACCGTGATATCAAACCTGACAACTTTCTAATTGGCCGGCCGAACTCAAAGGCCAGCAATGTCATACATGTCGTTGACTTCGGCATGGCTAAACAGTACCGAGATCCCAAGACCAAACAGCACATCCCCTACCGAGAGAGAAAGTCCCTATCAGGTACTGCTCGGTACATGAGTATCAACACCCACTTGGGCAGAGAGCAGTCACGTCGTGACGATCTCGAAGCCCTCGGCCATGTGTTCATGTATTTCCTACGTGGTGGTCTACCATGGCAGGGACTCAAGGCTGCTACTAACAAGCAGAAGTACGAAAAGATCGGAGAGAAGAAACAGACCACCGTCATCAAGGATCTTTGCGAAGGCTTCCCTGGTACGTTTTTCATATACACCTGGAGCAGTGGCCCTCCCCAGCTAACCAAACGTCAACAGAGGAGTTCACCAAATACCTCACGTACGTCCGAAACCTCGGGTTCGAGGACACACCCGATTACGATTATCTACGTGACCTTTTCACCCAGGCTCTCAAGAATACGGGAGATGTAGAGGATGGAGAGTACGACTGGATGAAGCTTAATGGAGGCAAGGGTTGGGAGGCGGCAAAGCCATACTCATCTCACCACCACCTGCACGGCGCCAATGCTCTGCCTAACAGCTCTGCCCGTGACCTCCATGGTTCTGCAGCCCCCCGAGCATCCCATCGGCCTGGTGTCACCGCTGACCGTTTAAACGCCGCGCAGCCCCCGCCCCCTTCTCCTGCAAAAGCCGGAGTTGGGAAAGCGCGAGAGCGGCCAAACGCCTCAGGCGTGCCGCAAGTCAAACGTCAAAACGGAGTGGCGGGGGGACTCGAGGCTACGACGCCTACAGCTTCGACACAAGCTCAATTCCAAAACTCTAACGTACATCTTCCCGGAAATCGAGTCAACACCCCAGGGAACCAGGCCATGACGAGTCAGGCACAACAACCGCGAAGGGCTCCAGAACCAGAGCCTACGTTTATGCAGAAGATAATGAAGGCGTTGTGTTGTGGTAGGTTTCGAGTCCAGAATGACTCGTAACGTTTCGTGTTAGCTAAGATGATGCGCTTGTCAAGGTTGATCGCGGGGATGCATTCTCTCTCATGCACCACTCAGCACCTCTATATTTCCTTCAACCTCTCTGACCTCTTTTTTTTTGGACCGATGCGAACGACCTGGTCTTTACTTCTCTCTGCCATTCTCGGCCCAGGGAAAGTTCTCGTTACAACTAACCATGGGTATCTCGGGCCTTCTTCTCCACTCCAATCCGTTTTATACCGGGTACAGCTGATTCTTTTGCTGCTGCGATGCTCGCCTTCCGATCGTTACCTGTTCCTGCCATGGTGCCTGCACTCTCTTACCACCACTCGACAACTATTTCTAATTTTATATGCCGTCCCTCCATATCCCGCCTGGCTCTCTCTCTCTCACACATACACATGCTCCTCTTGAACCACCGTTTTGAACACTCTAGACCCACAGGACCTTCTCTCGTTTTGCCATACCCCCATATACCCAGGCCTTACTTCACGGATATCTTACAGGAACAAATCAAAGCAAGACAAAAATGTACTCTCTCCGTTAAACAGCTGGTTTAGAACGGACCATTTTTAAACTCAGCCGAAGATATCAAAAGTCCCAGAGGGAAAGATCACCAAAAAAAAGGACATTTTTCCTATTGTTATATTTTTTTTTTCATGGGTCACGACATACATTTGAGAATATTTTTAATCTAACGGCAAGATTAAAAAAGTGCTTGTTTCCTTCATATTTTCTTTGTTCTCTGCTTCCATCCCATCGGTCATTCAGGTACCCTTATCACCCTTGACCCGTTTCCCTCGTCTTGGCTGTGATTTCATCTACCTGCTCAGCTATGCTCCCGATGCTCTCCCTCTGTTTAATCCGTTCACCATCTTCCGTTTTAGCACATTTCCCCCTTTTTTCTATGTCTTCGCCCGTACTCGGCGTTTTGTCTGCAACAGTACTTCATCCCCTGTCATCTGCTTCCCCAGTGTTTTACTGTCCTGCACTTCATCTCCAATGGTTTGGCTACTCGTGTTCTGTCCGTTCGTCCGCCTGTTTTTCCTACCGTCCGCTTAATTGCACCTCACTATGATGCAACCGGTTGTGT